CCACTTCACTGAAAAAAATTCTTTCCCCAGCAGTGGCCAGCATCAGCAAGTGAATTTGATACTAATGCATAGACACAACAACATTTTAAATTATGTCTGCCCCTAGTGGCCAAATGTCTGGGCATGAGAGTGGAATGAAGTTTGACCCTTTGGCCACCCAGTAGATCAGCAGGGAGGGGACACGGGGAGCATGCAGTGGGCATGGAGAGGACTCAGCCATTTCACACAGCATGCAAGAAATGGACTGCAGACCCTGCCCAGCCTGCACAGGAGGGGCTGCAGGCTTGCCTTAAAAGCCTACTCTCAAACCACATAGTATTTAAGTTAACTATTGAAGGAAAGCTGGTATATGATTGCAAATCCATCCTTAAAGTGGCAGCTCTATTTCCCCACAGACAGCAGAGTCCAGTTTTCATGCCAAAAAGTTAGCCATAGAAATATTGGGGAAGAGCAATACAGTCATTATGGCCCATCAGAAGGGGCATGCTTGCAATTGGACCATTGTCTATGGGCATCACAGTTGGCTTTAGGAAGTTTAACACAGGGAGGCCTGGGGCTACTCTGGCTGGTTTTACTCCTAATTAGGAGGCTATTGGATTCAAATAGAGCAGATGATATTGAATTGATCATATGTAAATAGCAGTAATACTTAGCACCCGTGGAGCATTTAATTTCTAACTCATTCTCACTGTTCCTAAGCCCATTTCACAGAATGGGGTCACGAGGCAGGGGGAATGTCTTGTTCAAAGCACAGAAGGAGACACTGGAGACAGGGGTCTCGGAGAAAAAGATTGATCTTGGATGGCTAAGATCAGTCCTCTGACCACTGGTCGTTTTCTCCAATGTATTCTCCTAATAATTGTGTCATCTACTTGAGAAGGAGTATTTAGATACTGACGTGTGTCTTAAAAATACTCTGGGTTCAAATGGCTTCATGAACTGATTGCAACAGCTTTGCAGCATTGAACTGAGGGATAAACTTCTCCCCTGCCTATGAATAGTATGTAGCACAGCTCAAGATATACGTTTGTTTAGAGCAGTGTTTCCCAATTGGTGCTCCGTGGAACCCCAGGGTTCCGCGAAGCAAAAGTAAGGGTTCCACGAGAATGTGGCATTGCCCTGCCCCCTCTTAAAGAGACAGTGTATTTTGCAGGGGGTTTTTGCTCGACCAATTCTGATGGGTGGTTTTTTTGTTTTTTTTTTCTGCTTGCCAAATTTTAGGGTTTCCCCTGGGAATCCTAGGGGTTCCTTGAAATTATTTTAAGCTGAAAAGGGTTCCGTGGCCAAATAAAATTGGGAAACACTGGTTTAGAGAGTAACACTGCTATGAGACATGCCCCAAGGCTGGGAAGGGATCTTGCCGTGGTGAGAGTCAATGAACGCGTTGAATGTGGATACAATGGAATAGATGTAAGTGGGGTTACTATTAAGGGGAGTTTTCTTTGCTGGGGGATATTGCTATAGAAAGGGCTTAATCTATATCAATACCTTCTTCCATACAGTAGCACCTTAAGATCATGGGATGTTCATTGAAAAGTGGGGCCTGCTGGTACTCCACAGCAGCGGGCAGTGTTAAAATGCAAGAATGTGCAGAACTGAAATGACCTAGTGGGACTGACTAATGAATTAAGGGAACATTTCAGTGACACGCCTGCTGACGGACAATGGAGACATTCCAGAAGGTGGAGAAGATTGGGGAAGGCACCTACGGTGTGGTGTACAAGGCTAGGAACAAACGGACAGGCCAGCTGGTGGCTCTGAAGAAGATCCGTCTGGATTCGTGAGTGTCTGAAATCCACAATCCCAACCAGGGTCCAGCTCAGACATTCCACCCTGAAGCCAGACCTCAAGGGCCATGCCAATGCTAGGATTTGTAACTGTATCTGAAAGGTTTTCCCCACACAGATGCTATTGTAAGATGATTTGAACCCTGGATTTCTTACTTGAGGTCCCCTTAAAACTGTATGCCCTGACTCCAGAGGCAGGTCTTAACTGCAACAGAGTTTGAGCTGCTTGTAGCTTTCCTTTTGGGGCAGGGAATTTGTTATAAAAAGAGGATGGTAGGGTGATTAAGAATGACAAAAGGCTAGGCATTCAAGTAATTGAAGGATTATTAGATCATTATGAAAACATTGCCGGGTACTCCACTTAAAAGATAGGAGAAAAAAAAGGAATAATAACAAGTGATGTGCTGCTGGGATTTGCATTTGAATCATTGCTGTTAAACTTTAAAAAAAGCATGGCCCTGTAGCACCTTAGAGATTAGCAAAAAACCCTGCTCTTAAACTTATAAATGTTCTTGAAAAAGGGGTGAACAGTGACTAATCCAAAGCTGACCGCAAAGAGTTACAAAGGGATCTCACATAACTAGGTGATTGGGAAATACAAGGGCAGATGGAATTCAGTATTGATAAGTAGGGGTGGCCCGTGAGCATAGGCAGACTCGGTGATCACCTAGGGCGCTGCCTTCAACAGGGCGCCCGGGGCACCCGATTATTACGTCACGGCCATTGACTGCTGTGCATGCGGGGGTGCTGATCGCGCATTCCGCCTGAGGCGCCAGCTGCCACAGCCGGCCTCAGGCCGCTCCTGTTGATAAGTGCAAAGTAATGCACATGGAAAAATAAAATCCCAACTAAAATAGCTGTTACCACTCAAGAAAGAGATCTTGGAATCATTGTGGATAGTTCCCTGAAAACATCTGTTCAGTGTGCAGTGGCAGTCTAAAAACTAAAAAGCTAACTGAATTTTTGGAATCCTTAGGAAAGGAATAGATAATAAGACAAAATACCATATTGGCTCTATATGAAGTCATTGTATGCCTACGTCTTGAATAAGTCACCCCATCTGAAAAAAGATATATTGGATTTGGAAAAGGTATAGAAAGGGCACTAGAAATTATTAGGGGTAAGGAACAGCTTCCATATGAGGAGAGATTAACAAGACTGGGACTTAACAGCTTGGAAAATAAATGGCTAAAGGGTGGAGAGATATGTTAGAGGTCTAGAAAATCCTGAATGGTGTAGAAAAATAGAATAAGAAAATGTTATTCATTCCTTCACTAACATAACACAAGAAGCTGACCCAATTACATTTATAGGCAAAAGATTTAAAACAAACAAGATAAATTATTTTTTCACAGTCAGCTTGTGAAACGCTTTGCCAGGAGATGGTGAAAAAGCCCAAACCATAACAGGGTTCCAATAAGAACAAAATAAATTCAAGGAGGATAGGTCCATCAATGGCTACTAGCCCGAATGGGCAGAGATGGTGTCTCAGCTTGTTTGTCAGAAGATGGAAATGGGCAATTATGAGGATTGCTTCTTTTGTTTATTCTTTCTGAAGCATCTGGCATTGGGCACTGTTGGAAGAGAGATTACTTGTCTAGAAGGACCATTGGTCTGACCCAGTGTGGCCATTCTGATATCCTTATGTAGATCTGAAATGTATCTGCCCCCTTGCTGTAACTTACCAGACCCCACTCCACTTCCAGGGCTGAGATAGAGCCCAGGAGTCCTGATGGGGTTTCTCTCTTCACACAGTAAGTAACAAAGTAAAAAAAAATTGTAAAGCTAACTGTTAAGATGTCTGCCAAAAAAAGTAGAGTTTTCCAGTGCCTTAGTAGCCCCTGGATAGAGGCGATGTGTGTGTGGGGGAGAGGGGGCAGGTAGATGGGGTTGGTTTCCCTCCCCATTTGGTGCTTGGCTTGTACTGAACATGCTCAGTAAGGGTGTGTCTACACTGCCCCCCAGCTTGAAATAAGCTATGCAATTTGAGCACAGCACTTATTTAGAAAAAAATTGCTATTCCAAAACGTCCCTTACTCCTCGTAAGGATGTGGAGCGTCAGAATAGCAAGCCCGTTACAGGCGCACTCAAAAGACACGGAATAGCTATTTTGGAATACCTCCCGAAACAGCATTGCAGTGTAGACGTAGCCTAACACTGCTAAAGCTTCTGTCCTCAGTCCACCCCCATGTTCTCACTGTCTTCTCTCCCCCCCATCATGGGATGAACAGGTTGGCCTCTCCCAACCAAAATCTGAAATGGTGACCTTGTTTGTCCAGACGGAGCATAGTTTAGATATCTTAAGATAAAAACCCAGTCCAGAAGGGAGCAGCAAACCAAGCTATCGTTGTAAAGCACAGCTATGCCCAAACCATAAGCTATCCAGTCCAGTTTGTGCTGCACTGTAGACAAGGCTTAAAATTCCTATTTTCTGCTCTCTGGACACAATCTTCACCCCTCAACCAAACTTACTAAGCAGTATGGCAAGCTAAAGGCTCCCAGGCGGGAATGGGAAATGCCTCAATCTGAGAGCAAATATCCCTAAATCACCTGGGCCACAGAAGCTGTGCTGATTGGTACTTTGTCATAACAGTCCCTTCTGCATGCTCTTCCCCAGGCTTCTCTTAAAGCAGTTGTCTCCCTTGTCTGGAAGGCATCAAAATGGGGCCAATACCTACTGGAACTTGGCTAGGTTGACACTGCCTGTGTCAACGGGCCATCCAAGCTATCTTAGGGCTCAGATTTTCAGAAGTGCTTGTCACTCATGACGACATGTATGGCTGAATTCTTATGTGTGCTGAACATTTGAAAACCTGATCCTAATCTCTCCTGAAAATCTAGTCTTGAGTTGCCTAGAGACACATGGAGAGGGTTCTAGATCGCAAAGCCTTATATTTTATGTCCCAAGCCTCAGTGAATATCCACCAAAATGAAATGTCAGAAAATATCTGTGAGCCATATAAGCAGCTGAATTGGTGTCTACTTGCTAATATCAGTCAAGAAAATAATGGGAATGCAATAAAGTTGGTCTTCCCCACAGGGAGACAGAAGGTGTTCCGAGTACAGCAATCCGAGAAATCTCTCTGCTCAAAGAACTTAAGCATCCCAACATAGTCAGGTAAGAGAAGCTCTCAGTCTGGCCATGGAAATAGGGTGGGTGGATCATTGCCATTGACTCACTACTATTGATCAGGTTCAGTTGTGTCAAGCTGAGGAGCCTAAGGATGTAAACAAATATCTCCCAGCTTTGTGTGTGCCAAGTGAAAGGGTTGTTGCTAAAAAGGAAACAGACAAGGCATGTCTGCTCATTCTGTACCTCTCACTTAGCTATTTTTCAAACCGTAATTGCCTGTTGAAGTCCTGGAGGGTTTGATACAGTCATTACTGACACAGGGCAATGGAGAAGGCCACTGGGCATCTTAAAATTTCCAGAGGGAAAAATCATTTAAAGATGCCCAATGAATCATTTAAAATGCCAGTAAGTCCTCTACAGAGCTAATGCAAGTACAGAAGGAAAAAGAAACATATGAAGACTACGAAATTGTACATTTGCTCCACTTAGGATACTAATTCACACTGTCCACAGAAATGTGTCCATCTGACTTTAAGTTCCAGATGCTTCTTAATGTGTCTGTGTCTAAAGGAGCTAATGCAGAAGATGACTGTGGCTGTAAGACTGTGGTAGAAAAATTCAAATGCAGAAACGTAAAATTGTGTCTGATTCTTGACAATGTAGACACCAAACAAACAGAAATGGAGCTCAATGGCCAAGAAAACCAAATGCCATGCTTGGGCTATGAAAACCTGTAGGGTGTCTTACAGCAGGGCTCCAGCTCTCAGGGGGTTGGTGGTTTCGCTCCTTTTCTCAACATCAGCCAGAGCTTTCTGGCCACAGCCAAGCTTTCCTGGTCAAAACTTATTTCTTTTTTAGTAAAAACTTAAAAAAACAACTAATAGTCTTGTAGCACCTTAGAGACTAACAAAAATGTATCATGAACTTTCTTGTATGTCTATACTACAGAGTTTTGTCAGAAAAACGGCCGTTTTTCCAACAAAACCTGAGTTACGTCCACACTGCAATCGTGTTCTTCCCAAAAGTAAATCAAAAGAACAGAGGGGTTTTTCTGGCATTGGTAATCCTCTTTCTACAAGGAAGAAGCCTTTTTCGAAAAGAGCTTTTTCGGAAAAAGGTGTGTGTGGATGGGGAAGAGGGAGTTCTTTCGAAAGAAGAGGAAAAAGCTTAGGTGCCTTGGTGGCCACTCCATCCATAGCAATCACAGTTTAAATGCGAGATAGCGTCCATTCAGTGTGGACACTATCTTTCGAAAAAGCAAATCGCTTTTTCGATGCACTTTTGTATGTGGACACTCGTTCGAAAGAAGTTTTTTTGGAAGATCTCTTCCGAAAAAGGTTCTTCCGAAAGAAGCCTGCAGGCTGGATGTAGCCTTAGTGACCTTTCCAAGCAAGTTTCTTCTCCCCTCTTTAAAATCCAGGCACTAGCTATTTCTGAAGTCGCTATTTTGGACAGCAGCAGTGTGCTGCAGATTACAATCACCCTGCCAACTAGATTCATAGTATAGCTACACTTCAATGAAAGCCCCCTGGCCAGCCCGGGACAGCCTAGATCAGCGGACTCAGGCTTATGGGGCTATACAATTGCAGTGGAGATATTTGGGCTCAGGCTGCAGCTTGGGCACTGAGATCCCTTGAGCAGGTGAAAGTCTCGGAGCTCAGGCCCCAGCCCAAGGCTGAAGGGCTACACTGCACAGCGAGGGTGTGTCTACACTGCACCTGGAGCTCGAAATAAACGACATAATTGTAGCTTATTTCAAGTTAATTTCAAAATAGCTTATTTCGAATTTAGCGCTCTCTACACAGCACTTATTTCAAAATAACCCGCTATTCTGAAACATCTCTTACTCCTCGTGGAATGAGGCTTACAGGGATGTCGGAATAGCAAGCCATTATATTTTGAAATAATGGGCACACTCAAAAGACGCGGAATAACTATTTTGGGATACTTCTGGTATTCTGAAATAGTGCTGCAGTGTAGATGTAACCTTACAGAGCCCTGGAAGCCCAAGTCAGCTGACCCAGGTTCCCAGACTTGATGTTGTGAGACATTTATTGCCATGTAGCCATCCCCATAGGCCAAGAAGGGACAATTGTGATCCTCTACTCTGGACTTCTGCATAGCACTTGCCAGAGAACTGCCCCACAAACGTTCCTAGAGCAGAATTACAAATGGTCAGCAATGGAGAAGCCACTATGGCCTAATCAGTGGTCCCCAACCTTTTGGGGCTGCTGGACGCCCAGTGGTGGGCCTGCTCACACGCTGGGCACCCAGGGGCGGGGCCACACATGCGCCCGGGGGCGGGGCCACCCATACGCTGCATACCCGGAGCTGGCGCCACCCATGCGCCGTACTCCCGGGGCTGGCACCGCAACTGTGCTGCACATCCAGGGATGGGGCCGCCCATATGCTGCGCGCCCAGGGCCGGAACAGCCCATGTCCTGTGCGCCCGGGGGTGGAGCCGCCACTGCCCAAGCGCTGCATGGCCGGAGTCGGCGCCTGTACCACGTGCCCAGGAGCCGGCAGCGCCCATGCGCCACGCGCCCGGTTGCAGGGCCACCCATGCGCTGCATGCCCAGGGCCAGTGCCACCTATGCACCGCGTGCCCGGGGGCTGGGCCGGCCCCGATCACTCGGCGGGCACCGCGTTGGGGACCACTGGCACTGGTGCGTATTGGCTATATTTTTGCTGTCCTCAGCTGGTCCTTGTTCCTTTCAGGAATACCCATTCACATGCAGAATGATTCTAGCCACCTTAAACGCTTCCTTCCAGTCTTACCAGATCCAACACCAGCTCCTGAGCTGGCATAGCTCTGGCTTTCAATGGAGCTATGTCAAGGGACAGAAATTGTGGGATCTGGCCCTATTACACCATTTACAAACTATCTGCTGCTAATAGAATGTAGAGAAAAGCTAGTAAGGCACAAGGTATTTCAAATAAACCCTTTTCCATTCAGTTGCTCAGAAAAGAAGCTAGCAGGAGGATTATTAGCAGGGTTCCCTGTAAGCTGAGCATTTGGGTAGCTGCCCACGAGAGATTCAGATGCTGCCCAGCTGATTAGAAGAGCACCCACAGCTCCCATAGCTGGCAGCAGGTTTCTAGTGGTGGTGTACATCTGAAGATGCCTTGGTGCACATAACATTTATTCCACACATGGATAGAAGAAATTAGAGGGAACATTGATTGTGAGCCTGCTAGTAGGGAACTTTTTACCCACTGTCCTCACTACTGTTTATGTATTGGTTTGGAGCCCTGCTGTATAAAGCTAGTCAGGACTGTTTGTAATAAGACAGGTTATGGTTGTGTTTTGTTTTTAGGCTTCTGGATGTTGTGCACAGTCAGAAGAAGCTGTACTTGGTATTTGAGTATCTGAATCAGGACTTGAAAAAGTACATGGACTCGTCCCGGACAGGGGAGCTCCCTTTAAGTTTGGTAAAGGTACAAAGTTTAGAGAAGTAAGAGAGCCACTATGGCAATCAGTGCTGGCTCCAGCCATTCTTGTGCCCTGGACAGCAGGCGCGCAGCGCATGTGCGGCCCCCGCCCCCAAGCGCGCAGCACCCCGTACGGTTGTAATCAGGTGCCCCCCATAGATTGGCGCCCTGGGCAGCTGCTCAGCTAGCCCTCCCCCTTAATCCGGCCCTGATGGCAATATACCTGCAGGTGGTTAAAGCTGTGTTTATACACGCTGCCCTCTGCTGGATGGGCCCAGGACTGGTCCCATTTGTGTATAACGCTGGTCTCCAACCTTATTAAACACAAGAGCACTTGTGGAATGAGGTTTACCACCTAATTTGATTTAGGGGCTTTATTCCGGAATCCTGTTTCACTGCCACGTGTAGATGCGGGCAGTTACTTTGGGCTAGACAATTTCTAAAATGGCGACCGGCCAGGAACATGCAAATCAAGCGCGGGCTATTTAAATCCTGGGCTTGATTTGCAATTCCGGTCACCCTCATTAGCCTCCCTAGATAGATCTAGGGGGCTAGTGTAAATTTACCCTAACAGATTTATTAGGGCATGAACTTTCATGGATAAAAACCACTTCATTAGCTGAATTGGAGTGGGTTTTACCCATAAAAGCTTATGCACCTCCTCATTCTTGCAGATACAGACTAACACAATTACCCCTCTGAGACTTTTCACACGTGTGAAACTTTATACTGATTGTGGAGATTGTAGGTAAGTTCCCATGGTAATTAACTGACTCCCACAGAAGGCAATGGGAGCTGTGAGTGTGCAGCGCCTCTGCGTGTCAGACCAAGATGTTGTTTAGTCTGAAAAATTCTAGACTTTAATATGTGGTTTGTTAATTTCCCACCAGCCATTTCTAGGCTTCTCAGCTTGTTAGACTAGCCACAAAGTTAACTGAAGTTGGAAGATGTTGTCCAGGTAGCTACTGCTAATTATTTTTATAATGGGAAACCTGTTGCTGGCAGTGTCAGTGGATGTGACACCTTCTGTCCCCAAGATAGCAGGGATAGGAATGTTTCAGTGTATTGTAGGGTTATGATCAGAACCTCAATCATGGGCTTGGACGGAACTAAAGTGACAGTGTCTGGGCTGTGGGGGCAAGGGGGGGAGATGTTAATGAAACAAAGAAATATTTTCCATACAGATGCTGGAAAATTCCCTAATGAAGATTTGTCATATTTCAAAGGGTTGTAATTTAAGCCAGCCCACTGTTCCACACAGTCTCATTGCATTTATGTCTGAAATCTCTCCTCTTAGAGCTATCTGTTCCAGCTGCTGCAGGGTGTGAACTTCTGTCACTCACACAGAGTCATTCATAGAGATTTAAAGCCACAGAATTTGCTTATCAATGAAGCAGGAGCCATCAAGCTGGCAGATTTTGGCCTGGCGAGAGCCTTCGGGGTTCCATTGCGCACATACACTCATGAGGTAAAAAAGGCGATTTCCCCTCTGGTCTAAGATGCTTTCACTGGAGTATCTCAGGGCACCTCTCCCCCTCTCTCACTTTCTGATTTAGCTAAACTGATCTGTTGAATGATTGGACTCCCATGAAAAATAATCTACTCTATGAATTTCTAATTGCCCATCCCTGTAAAATACATGTGGGGAGTTGCAGTGGCCTGCATTGCTAATTAGGTGCCTGTGAACGTGGAAGGCAGAGATTGATGTTGTGTGTAAAGAATCTTATCAAGCTGAACACAGCAGAACGATCCTTGCTAATCTCAGAACTGTGTGGGCCTGTCAAGTGAAACTAGACTACAGAAGGAGTAAGTCAACAGGTGGACCTTGGGCCAAATCCAGATTACCTCATGGACCCCAAACATCTTTTTGTTTTCTTATTGGGATTTAAACATTTAAACATGTTTAAATCATTGGGATTTAAACATTTTCTTCTCTGAAGTCTGGACCAGTGTTCCCTGTAAGCTGAGCATTTGAGTGGCCACCCAGGAGTGATTCAAATGCCACCCAGCTGATTAGCAGAGCACCCACAGCTGACAGCATGTTTCTACTGGTGGTGCACTTCTGCACACACACACACACACACACCTCAGCATACATAACAAAATTTAGTCTGCACATGGATGAAAAAACTTAGAGGGCACGTTGCTCTGGGCACTAGACAATACCTTGACAAAAATAATTATCTATCCTGGGACTAAAGCTTTTGTTTTGGCTTCTTGTAGGTGGTAACTTTATGGTACCGGGCCCCTGAAATCTTGCTGGGATGTAAATACTATTCGACTGCAGTGGATGTCTGGAGTATTGGCTGTATCTTTGCAGAAATGGTAGAACGTTTTAACCACTTTCTAAGCTAATGGCCCCTTTTTATCATCACCTTCATGCTATTCAGTCTCATACTTATCCATTTCTTACCATGATCCTGGATAGCACTGGGAATACATGGTGGAAAAGGCATCTAGGAAGTCAACAACTTCTTAATTGTGGATTCAGAGTAATATTCACTCCCCCCAGGCAGGGCGCAGCACAAGCACTAGCTACCACTCAGAGCCCACTTATCGCTGTTTGGAATATTTAAGTGAGCATAACCTTTGTCTGCCTTCTGTATGAGGGTGGCTTTTAGCCTTAGTTTTTGGATAGCAGGTGCTAAGACCTGGGTGCATTACAAGGATTGTGTCCACCTTTGCCTGAGGTTCTCACACGGTGGTCTGCAGAGAGCTGACATTTCACCGCATTTGCAAAAAAGTCTGGGTTCCTTTCAAAACAGCTTTAAACAAGGCAAAGACAGCTGTAGCTGCTGCCACATGAGGGCTGTGTCTAGACTGCATCCCTTTTTCGTAAAAGTGATGCAAATTAGACATATCGCAATTGCAAATGAAGCGGGGATTTAAATCTCCCCCGCTTCATTAGCATAAAAATGGCTGCCGCTTTTTTCCGGCTCGGAGCTTTGCCGGAAAAAAGCGCCAGTCTAGACACGGATCTTTCGGAAAATAAAGCCTTTTCTGAAAGATCCCTTATCCCTCTGATAATGATTCTGATAATGAGGGATAAGGGATCTTTCGGAAAAGGCTTTATTTTCCGAAAGATCCGTGTCTAGACTGGCGCTTTTTTCCGGCAAAGCTCCGAGCCGGAAAAAAGCGGCAGCCATTTTTATGCTAATGAAGCGGGGGAGATTTAAATCCCCGCTTCATTTGCAATTGTGATGTCTAATTTGTATCCCTTTTACGAAAAAGGGATGCAGTCTAGACACAGCCGAGGGGTAAAAGCAGATGATGCCTTCAGGGAATAGAACAGTCATTGAGGGGAGGGAGAGCCTGCAGCTGGACACAGCCCCCAAGGGGAGTGGAGAAGGGAAGCAGGTAAGAAGAGAAATACACCCAGGGAAACACCCAGGTAATTATATACGCATGTGAGGGCTGAACAGACAATGGGATGGGGATGGTGGAATGAAGAGGGCAAACAGATGCCATATTTATCTTTCCCAAACAATTGAATTGTAGACAGTCATTGAACATGTTCCTAATGTTACTTTTCCATGCAAGGAGTTGCCCCACCTCAGAGATGAGTATTAGTCTTATTTGCAAACAATGTTAAGAAAACTCAGCGGAATGGATCTGGTGCTTTTGTTTCTCCCAGGTGACAAGAAAAGCGCTGTTTCCTGGGGATTCTGAAATTGACCAACTCTTCCGGATTTTCCGCACCCTTGGCACCCCCACCGAGGCAGGTTGGCCCGGGGTAACCCAGCTTCCTGACTATAAAGGAAATTTTCCCAGGTGGGCAAGAAAGGAGATGAAGGAGATTGTTCCGAACTTGGATCGTGATGGGAGAGACTTACTGGCGGTGAGTGGTGGGTTATGGGCAGATGTTGGGGAAGTTCATCTCTTTCAAATCGGGCAAATGAGGAGCACATGCTCTGCTGAGATGACAAATAGCAGGCCAGGTTGCATTTGTGTTTTGCTTCCCCCCAAACCAGGCTGTTGTATTTTGGATTTGTTGGCGACAAAGGCTCCCCCATGGGAAGAGAGGTTCATTACACTGGGCTCCATGCACAAATCACTCAATGAAACGCTCTGGCCTGTGTTCGGTTGGCAGTGACATAAGAGGATCGTGATGGTCTCTTTGAGCCCTAAACTCTATGAATCTTTTCTGTTCAGGTTCCTGTGACAACATACAGCTCTGTGGTATCTGAGCACCTACATAGATGAAGGGCCCTGGGGGCGATTGCTGCTTTTCCTCTTCTTATTTCCCTCCTATGTCCCTCCAATGATTTGTGCACTGAAAAACAACCTGCACATAAATCTTGTTTGTAACTACAGGTTCCCAGCCCCATTCAGCCTTGGAGCTACTGACTTGAGTTGCTAAGTGCTACCACCTGGTAGCTGTTGTGCCAGATCCGTGTATATTGATAAATCTCAGTAAACATTCATGCCACAGTTCTTTCTCCCCCCCCCCTTAGTTAAGAGAGTAAGAAAATCCTCCTGTCATGGAACAGCTGTTTCAAACTACACTCAGTAGAACCTGCTAGGACACATAGGCAGGTCACTATTTAAAGACTTCCTCTGCTTGTGATTTTTTGACCAAGATGACAGGTTATGGGGCAGTAATTTACTGGGGAGATAGGAATGATATAGTATGACATCTAACTGCAGCATGGCTGGTGTGCTTGTCTGGAACAGACTCCTACCCTGCATGTGCTCAGGGCAGTGGTGGATGTAGGGCAGGGTGAGCGGGGCGGCTGCCCCGGGCCCCACGCTTCAATAGGCCCCGCGCCAGCCCCACTCGCCCTGCCCTATATCCGCCGCTGCTGCCCTTATCTGCTGGAGCTGCCTCCGCCACTGCCCTTCGCTGCGTGTCCGCGAGCAGCTCCACTAGCCCGTGGCATGCGCCCAGCGGTGGCTCTTTGCCATGGAGGCGAAGGGCAACGCCTGGCCATGGTGCCCAGGTATCCCACTGCTCCACGCTCCTGCCCTGCCCAGAGAGAGGCTGGTGGTGGCGCAGTCTCTCCCCCGGGGGAGCCCAGACCCCTTTCCCGCCACGCCCGGGGGCAGAGCGAGCCGCCAACCAGGCACCCCTGGCCCCCCCCCGCCAGTCCCCACCTCCCCCCACTCATGGGCACAGCGCGACCCAGATCCAAAGACAGCAGGGCTCCCCATCCCCCCATCCCTGGGAGCAGGGGGAGTTGCCAGCTGCCCCCGCCCAGCCAGGAGCTGGTTGAGAGGCTGAAATGGTCATTTTGGCCTGTCTGATGAGTCAGACACCCCTGCCCGCTGGTCCTCCCTATGGCCCATCTGTGCGCCATCCTCCACGTAGCCACACCCTGCTTGCCCCCCAACCCGAGTGCCCACACGCTGCCTGCCTCCCAAA